GTTGGCCTTCAGCACAAAGCAGGACCACCTCAACCCAACCCCCAATCAAACAAACATGTGCACATACATATCATACATTATCATAATAACAGTCAAACAGATCTAGCAGATCAAATAGCATAACAACATCCTATAACCAGGACACCGACCTACCCAGGTCATTAACATAGCATAATATTATAACCAGGGTACCGACCAAACCAGGTCACTAAGCATAAGCATATCACCATCCAAACTACTAGGATGCTGAACAATAACATATCATGCAATAATTCGGATACAAATCCATAAAGGACCTGCCTTGGTGCCTTAGACCCTGTTGATATAGTGAGGATAACTCACCTCGCTAGTAGTGCTGAGTACTGTAACTCTCTGACCGCTGCCAAAAACTCCACTACCTATATTCGCCATACAACCATGTTCATAAATTCCCAAAATGCCCCCAAAGCTCAAAAGTCAACCCTTGGTCAAAGTCAAAGTCAACTGCCAAGGTCAACAGTCCATGTTGACTTGAACTCGTCGAGTACAACCAGCCACTCGCCGAGTTCCTTGCATAATTCGTCCACTCGCCGAGTCACTCTACTGCCTCGTCGAGTCTGCGACAATCTTCATTGGACTCGCCAAGTTGTTCATACGACTCGCCAAGCCCAAGGCCATCTTCATAGGATTCGCCGAGTCCCTTTGTTCCTTCATTCATATAGGTGCTTTTAAGCCATGCAAAGGCTCCATATTGCAGATCTAAGCTCCTAGGTGTGCTTACCACGTAAAGTTGCAAACTTTACGTGCATGCAAGATGATAATGACCGAAAACAAGCTAAAGGAGTGTTTTAAGGTAAGGGGAAGGTCGTGGCTTGACAAGACTGAAACTTTATGACAGTGAGGGGCTAAAGGAGTCCAGATCTGAGGTTGCAAACCTCAGATCTTGACCCAAATCGGAATACCACCATAATAACCCTAAAAAGGGCTCTAAACCCGATAGTGAAGAGATCTAGCTAAAGGAGAGCCAAGGTAACAACTTGTTACCTCCAAAAACGATACCATGATGGGGTAGAATCCGGATCTACAACAACCCCTTGCTCCAAACTTCTTGAATTCCAAGCTCTTTACTCCAAGACCCTTCTTCCAAGCTTAGAAACACACAAATATGGAGAGTAAGCACAAATTAGGGTTTCTGAACTCAAGGGAGGCTGTAAGAGAGGCTGAGGGGAATAAGTGATCCTTAAATAGGGTGCAAAACCATGAAAATTAGGGTTTCATCATCCAGCTCCTACTCGTCGAGTCCCTACTTGGACTCGGCGAGTAGGTCACTTAAACACGTGGCCCAATCCTGCTGCTACTCGACGAGTCAGGGCATCCAACTCGTCGAGTAGATCTTGAAACTTAAGAATTAAATCCATAATAATAATACCTGAGAATCGGGGCGTTACATGTGATTCGCTTGTCGGGGGGGGGGGGGGGGGGGGGGATTTGTAAGGTGATAAGATACCGAAATAAGATTCACAGACTTAAAATCTTGATGATGGGTATTCTCTTCTACTAGTTTCTTCCGACCACTACGCTGCTTTTTCTTGGATATGCCAGAACGTCATTCCCACTTCGCCTCACCCATCAGACGAATTTGTAATCAGCTTCCAACTAGTTGCAGTAATCAGAGAACGAAAGAAGAAAAAGGATAACGACGACGTTTGAACTCGTCGGAATTCTCAGGTTCGAAATCGCCGGATAGAGTTAGAGCTTTTTAAATTCTAAATATAATGTAATTACGAAATTAGGAGTTATATTTATTTATCAATGATTAAATTCTCATAAATAATACTACATCCGTCCCAAATTTATTGTCCACTTTTGACTTTTAAAGTCTTTATTTTTCAACTTTAACCTTAAATATTTTTGTTTTAGAGATATAATACTTGATGCAAAGTATATGAATGAATTGTGTTTTAAATGTATTTTCGTTGTTATAAGTTTCATCAAGTAATATATAACACAAATACAAATATTTAAGGTCAAAGTTGATGAATAAACACTTCAAAAGTAAAAAATAGACGATAATTATGGGACGAAGGTTATTTGCATAATTATGTTGTTAGTATGACCCTTTAGGATCATATATTATCTAACAAGTATCCTTGAACATGGAGATCTTTGATAGATTTACCCCCAAATTTTTAAACGGAACCACATCATTTGCAACAAAATACTGAGCAATAGAGAAAGGCGGGTTGATCCTTTGGAAATGAACTTCTTTGTGTGCAGTTAAGGCTTTGGATACCATAGAGTTTTTCAAGTAATTGATTGGCTTCAATATTGCAATTGTTATTACATTTTTAGCTATTTGGAAGTTCCGCGATAACCTTGCATAAGGTGAATAAATTGAGAAAAGAACACATCTTTGATGATATTGTTTCTCATCCGTTTTCTGCATTTGTATGAAACGGGGATATGTAAAATAAAATAAAATTGGCTTTATAATCTTGCTTTTGCTATAATTTTATAATTTCTTTTGTTAGCGTCTTGCTAAAATATTTTTAATATATTTTTTACCTCGTGTCAAAAAATACACTTTTCAATCAACAATTAACGTTTAACCATGAAAAATCAATGATTGTAAGATTCATAATAGAATAAAATTATATTATATATTTCTAAATTGAATTAAATAATTAATAACAAGATTCACATTTGAATTAAATAATCAATTAGAAGATTCACATTTGAAAAAAAAAAAAGATTATATAACATAATTCAAAGTTGAATAAAGCTATTACTCTAAGCCGTATATAAAATGCAAACCTGAAAACCAATAAACTAGTGAAATAACCTCCGATCAGTTCATTAAAACCATAGATAAATGTATTAGTAAAACATAAGTTGTGACTTATAATTTGTATATATTAAATATATAGTGGGGTTATCACAATATTAAGTCCATGTGGGCGTGTGAGATTTTAAAAACAAATAAGCTCAAAATTTTAGAAATCATAGAATAACTCACTATCATAATAATTTTAGTTATGGTTGGAGAATAAGGAATGGTCAAGTTCTATATGATATTTGAGTTAATCACCATCATATCACAAAATATATCTTTTCAACTTTATAAAAATATTTAAAGAAAGAGAATAGAATCATGGATTCGCCAAGTAAATGGCTCCCAGGCGCTCCATAACTCAAAGCGTTCAATGTACCGACAATCATAACTAATATCATTTTTTTTTTCGTTTTACAAAATAAACACGACGTACACATACATATATAAATAAGCTCAACAAGTAATATTTTAATCCTTACAATCAAAAAACCATTATATTTTCAAGTTTTAAAGTTTATTACTTATCTTAAAAAAAATCTAAAAATATTTAAATACATAACTTTTTCTCATCTTTCCATTAATATCAAATTAGATAAAAAATAATTTACTTTTTTATCAATTCCGTTCACACTGTGAATCCGCACATAGATTCATACTGTGAATCTGCATAGATTTACAATGTCAATTTAACACATCAAAAAAAAAAAAAAAAAACAAAAATTATCGAATTTAAAATCAATGGAAATATGTTAAAAAGTTATGAATTTTTGCATTTTTAGTTTTTTTGTGAAACCCTATCACACACACACCCACCCACACACACATATATATATATATATATATATATATATATATATATATATATATATATATATATATATATATATATATATATATATGCTTATGTTATTTTGTTTAAAGTAATTATTATGTTATTGTAAGTATAAATGTGGGCCAATCAAATTTACTTATTTTAAGAAAATGATTAATATATATTATTGAATTAAATATAATTGAAAAAATCATCTTAATTAATTAGAAGGGTAATTTATTCAATTAATATAGATTTAATGAAGGAAAATTGCATTTTTTAAGGGATCATAGATTCTATAAATTTTAAAAATCCGATTTTACGAATTATAATTCTTTTAATTCGGACATTCTGATAGAATATGTTTATGAGTATATTCAAAAATAAAAATATTCTTGAACCATAAATAATAAAAATATTCTTAAACTTATTTCTTGATGATGACTTTAAAAACTTCTTGAAGAATAACAACTTCTTGTAGAATAACAAAATCTTGAACAATCAATTGAAGAATAATAACAAAAAATGCATTACTTCTTATAGAATACGGGTAACAATTGTTAAGAATTACATTTATTGTTAAAGAATAAAACTAAAAAAACAATCAAAACGGGGAAGAAAACATCAAAATCTAACAACGAATAATACATTCTAAAAGAATAATGTGGTCCGTTCTTCAAGCATCAACTTCTGTGATTCCAACAGAATTGGAATTCGTCATTCCATTCCAACAGAATTGGAATTCGTCATTCCATTCCAATAGAATTGGAATCTCACCAATATCATCCATTGAATCATCTACATAAATGAATAAGATTATTCCAAGATTCACAATGTACAGAAAGCCAAACAGGATCTGAAATAACAAGAAAGATATTAAGCCAGCAACAAATTTATGTAATTGTCAAATACCAAATGCAAGTAAAAACTCACCTGGGCAGGATATAGCTGGCCTCCTGTAACATATTGTATGTCACCTTCCTTCTTTAACAACAAAATCGATAAATAATGTTTAAAATATATATAAGAAAATGAAAGAAAAACCATTGAAATATGAATTTAAAACCTTAAAAATGGTTCTTGAGCTTTTGTTCTGTTCTTTGACATTTTATGGTCAACCCATTGAAGTCTGAATTGAGTCCACCGAAGTAGTCCTGTTTTCAGAAATGCATAACGAATTACAATCAGAACCTGTATACTAAAAATAATGGAGAAAATGTTTGGTAGATTGTTTTAATAATTCCTGTTTTTTTAAAGATTTGTGAGAAAATATCAATAACTACATCATACGTTATGATGAGTGAAACTATGAAAGACATTGCATTGTACCCATTAGGTTCACTAAGTCAAAATGAAACAACACTTAACAATGTCTTTTTAGTATAATAAATCCAGAAAAGTAAGAAACTTGCCATGATTTATGAATTCAGGCTCGATGATGTTGCTTCCAGTGCCACTAAAGCGGCTGAGACTATGAGTCGATGTACAGATACTGATCTCGATTTCGCCTCTGATCGTTTCAACGGATTCGGAATCTGGATCGTCGGGGTCGATTATGGACCTATCGAGAACTGAATCTGCGGTAAGAATTCTATCTTGGGCGTAAGAACCCACCTCCGGGCTTGCGTAATCCACGACATCTCCAACTTTGCAGAAATAGGTTCTTATTGAAAAAAAAAACGCAGAAATCAACACAGTAGAACCGTACGCGATGGGGGAAGAAATCGACATTCGAAGTAAGGAAGAAGACGTGATGATCAGTAAGGAAGAAAGGGAGAACATCGATTACCACCACCAAGAGCACCTCTGTTCGATGCTTGATCGCTCGATTCTTCCCTCTCCCGATCTATGAAGAATGCGATGAAGGGTCGCTGGTGTCAATTTGTTCAATTTAGGTTATTCAGAATCGGTTTTTAGATAAAGAGGAGAACGAGATTTAAACTGGAGATACCATGATTATAGGGATTATTTTTGGAATTTATTAAGCAAATTACTAAATTACCCTTATTTATTTATTTAATTATTTAATTTTGATTGGCCTACATTTATGCATACAATAACACAATACTTAGTTAAAACATTTGAACCTAGCTCTATATATATGTGTGTATATATATTATATATATATATATATATATATATATATATATATATATATTAGTTTTGAGACACATCTATTACATGGATTAATTTAAAAATAAAGTTAAATATAAATATCAAAATATTTGAGAATTTTGAATTTATAAGAAATAAGAAAAATAATGATTTATTAAAATGGAAATATTTTTTATCTTTTAAATTTAAACAAATAATTTAAATAAAGAAAATAAACTAATGAGCTTTAATTTTGGGAATTTTGAAATTAAAAGATAAGTTTATTAGTGAAATTAAATTCCATTTATTAGTACATTTAGTACAATTATTACATTAACATATTATATGTAATTTAATGAAATAGAAAAACTCATAAAATCAAATTTGAAAAAAAAAAATAATTCAAAGTAACCACAAAAAGATATTAGGCAAATTGAATGAAAATGTGACAAATGACAAAATAAAATTGATAATTTCTTTAACTATAACAATATTATTAGTTACCTAAAAAAAATTAATTGGTTTTTTTAACGCGATACAAAAATAACTTTTATTAGATTTTCTTTCAATTTGAAAAAAATAAAATAAACAAGATTTTTTTCTTGAAACATTTTATTTACACATTTTTATTGATAAATCAATAAGTATAAATGAACAAATGACAATGTAGTTTTATAATTTTATTGAATTACTTTTTAATTAAATTCTTTATAGGTAATAAATCAAAATACACTTGTAATCATATATGAATATAGTGTATATCAATAGAAATAAGATAAGAAGTAATGAATTTTTGCATTTTTAGTTTTTTTAATATATATATATATATATATATATATATATATATATAATAACACACACACACACACACTAGTTGTGAGACTCATGTATTACATGGTTTAATTTAAAAAAATAAAGTTAAATATAAAGATCAAAATATTTGAGAATTTTGAATTTATAAGAAACTAAGAAAAATACTGATTTATTATAATGGAAATGTTTTTTATGTTTTAAATTTAAACAAATAATTTAAATAAAGAAAAATAAACTAATGAGCTTTAATTTTGAAAATTCTGAAATTAAAATGTAAGTTTATTAGTTAAATTAATATCCAATTATTACTACATTTATTGCAAATATTACCTTAAAATATGGTGTGAAATTTAATAAAATAGAAAAACTGTAACACACCGATTTCTTCGATGCAGAACTTGAGAACTTCATTCACAATATAGGACCTACTCGATGAGTTGGTTGGTCCATACTCATTGTGTACCAGTTGAGAGGGCCGCATGATTTTTAGAGTGTACTCGATGAGTTGGAGGACCCCAACTCGACGAGTAGGAGTTTAGTGTGAAAACCCTAATTTTCAGGATTTGTGCCCTATTTAAAGGACCTTAAGTCTTCATTTCTGCCTACCTTATCACTTTAACACTCTGATAGAAACCCTAAACGAGATGGTATCATCAGTGTGTGTGTGTGTGAGAGAGAGAGAGAGAGAGAGAGACTAAAAGTGTGTGTTTTGGTGCATTCTTTGAAGAAGATAGAAGAGCATAAGGCTTAGAAAGAGAAGAAGCCTCTGGATCTGGTGTACTTTCAGTGGTAGCTACTTTTTGGAGGTAAAAAGCTATCAATTTGATCATCGTTTGGTTAGATCTCTTCCTTAGGGAGTTTGTGGCCATTTCAATCTTCCTTTTGAGCCTTTGAGTTGTTTGAGCATGCCATGAAGTTGAAACTTCAGATCTTGGCAGTGTGAGGTTCCTTAGGCCTAAAGATTCAAGCTTTATCAAGCTATTGGCCAAGTTTTATGCATTAATCCCTCCATAGAGCTTTTTATTGGCACTTTGAGTCCTAGCTGCCATGTATGGACATAAAGTTTGCAGCTTTACGTGGTATTTCAGCCTTGGGAGGCTAGATCTAGAGTGTGGGGCTTTAGTTTTGCTTAAAATCGTCTAAATGAGAAATGGACTTAAGGGACTCGACGAGTGGATGAGCCAACTCGACAAGTCGGTTAGGGTTTTCCCTGATAGATTGGACGCGCTACAACTCGACGAGTTGATGAGACAACTCGACGAGTTGAGTTGGATTTACCTGATACTTCAGAGAGAACAAAAGAACTCGACGAGTCGCATAGGTGCACTCGACGAGTTGGGTCAACATGGACTGTTGACTCGAGCGTTGACTTCCGTTGACTTTTAAGGTTTGGTCAAGACATGAGTTATGGAGATCATGGAGGGTTAAAATAGTCTTTCTACTTTTTCGAGAGTGAGATAAGGGGTTAGCTTAACTTTGTAGAGTTATGGTTATAAAGTGTTAATTAGAAATGATTATATTATGTAGGCGGAGTGTAGACTATTCGTGGGGTACTACATCTAGTTGCTTACATACGACGTGAGTCTTCTCACAATACTTTCTTGAGTAGTGATAGTGTGTGACCGGAGGGTCTTATATGTTTATACTGAGTTATGTGATATCATGCATTTGTCTTAGTGATTTATGTTGTATATTATTTTGTGCTTTATTGGTTAGGACCGGAGGGTCCAACCTGATTTATGAGACAGGAGGGTCCTCACTGAGACACATGGATCAGAGGGTCCTCTCAGGATCACGGTAAGGCGCCGACTTGATTGTACACACCAGTTAGAGTTTATGTTTTGAGGATTCTTGGATATTATCAAACATTTCATTTCTTGGGTATTGAGCAACTATACATTTTGTGGTTTTTGAGAAATGTGAGAATGTGTTTTTATGTGGTTTAAAAATGAAAATTTTATTTGAAAAATTAGAGTGTTACAAGTTGGTATCAGAGCCTTGGTTTGAGGGATTCGGATGTATTATCGGGTATGCCTGGACTCAAAATGAGGATTGGAGAAATGTTTCTAAAAAGAATTGATTTTTCTAAAACGATTAAGAGTTTTAGGGAGAAAACAAGACGAAGCGGTGTGTACAATCAGCCAGAGCCGAACGGTGAATTTCCAAAATACCATTACTTGTTTATATTATAAGATACTTATGAGATATTAGAGTTGCATGCTAGAGAATAGGCTAGGTATTTCATGAATTTAGAGCTAGAGTTGCCGGATTCATGATGCCTTAGCCAATGGGATGATAGTGATTGATATTATCTACTATTTGCTCTATATATGTGATGAGTAGGAGTACCTAGCAGGAATCTTTTAGAGAGATCTTTGAGTAGAAGAGTAATCTAGGAGAGATAACTAGATTTGCATTTGAGGAATCTACTGAGAGAGTAGTTAGATACCAACGAGAGGTGAGATTGCCTGAGTTCGGTGATGCCTTTTGAGTTGTGGATAGAACAAGTGGTGTTTTATGCTAGAGTGCTTTTATGTGCTGGTGGAGGTTATTCGATGCCCGAATACTGCTTTCTTTGTGCTTTGTGGAACTCTTGAATGATGGGAGTCAACTACTAAGTGAATATGACGATATTCAGGAGGTAGATGGTTGGCAGCATGAGGAGTTCTTCAGCAGCTGATGGCAGAGAAGCGTGAGAACCTAGGAGAGCCTAGGGAGTAATTTTTAGTCAATGAGTGCGCTCTTTAGAGGTGAGCATTCACTGGGAAGCGAGCATGTGTAATGGGATTGGTTGATCGAGAAGGTTGAGCAGCTACTTAGTAAATATGGGATGATCCGTGTGGAAAGTATGGGTAGATGTGGAAGGTAGTATGGGCCCGTACTACTGAAAGCATAGGACCCATACTCGAAACAGGGAGAATTTGAGAGGTTCTAAGTAGCAGATTGAGGGGGAGATAACATGGTTTAGGTACCATGATGTGTAACAGAGAGTGATTCCGTCTTTACCAGTTATCCCACTAAGGTTGTTCAGAATGAGAGTGGATATGGTAGTTTGTGGGGCCAGAGGCCCATGTCGGTCGAGCTTCAACAGAGTTTTCCTTGCAAGGAAAATTGACTTTACATCCCGAGGTGTCTGACTGGCGAGCTGCCAGTAGGAGTCGCAGGACTCAAGGAGAAGTGGGGATAATTCCTTGTGGAGGATTGCGGTATGGGTTGAGTGATCGGCCGATGGTTGAGATGTCACTTTTTGTGACAAGAATTACACTATTTCCACTTCTCGTGTGGAGCAAAGGAGATAACTAGCTTCCGGTTTCAGAGAATAGAGGTAAACCCCGTGGGGTAGCATATATTTGTGATATTTTCACCAGAGTCATCACAGGGGACTGAAATGGATGAGGACAAGGATATGCCTTAGTCGAGTGTAGTAAGGCATATATTAGCAGCAGTTCCAGGTAATCAAGAGGAGTATATTGGGGCGGCGGCCCTCGTTGTCTACGTTGTATGAAAACCATGAGAGTGAGGTCTCTTGCTTCAATGATAATCCACGTGATGGAAGGTTGGTAGAGGAATAGGAGATGAGGTGTGTATGATAGTTCATTATTTTCAGGTTGAGAGTCGCAACTAATTCGGGACAGTCGAGATGTCCGATGGTGTGTCGGTATGAGATTTTGGGTGACTTAGAGGCAGTGACATTAGGAAGATTATGAGGTTTTCATATGAGATACGTGATACTTGGGGTTATTTGCTCATTTTCTCGGAGGACATCAAGTGTTGCGTGTACGTTCCATGAGTCGGGAATGGTACATTTGGTGAGCCAGTCTGAAGCGTGGTCTGTTGGTATGACAATGGACGATGGTTCGAACCCTAAGTGGGGG